CTCTCCCAGCCAGTTTTTTTCTAATTCATTCAAATAATGCTTCAAAGGGGAAAAGACACTTACAACCACAAGACAACAGACAGAGCTCTTTTTTTTTATGTTGACCCAGCAGTATTCTGTTATTCTGCATATTGCATGTATATCACAAGATTAGAGAAGAAATAAGGTCAGGCCATGGACACTTCAGAACACATACGATGAACGAATAAAAATCTTTATTGAGACATGCTTGCTAAATATCTTTGTGGAGAAAGTCATCTAATTCCTAACTCTGTCCATTTGCTCCTTAAACTACAGGGTTTGACTTGGTGGAAAACATGAGAAGAATCATGACTGCAACATCAATATTCACAGCCTAAGCGTGTATACCTCATGTATCTCTTTTCAAGGAAAGGAAACGAGATACTCCAAGCCCACGCGATGCTTCACCTGCATCTTTCATACCCATATTTACTATTGTAACAAGGAAGCATCTCTGAAAATGTATTCATACCACACTGCACACGTAGCACATTTACTACGTCCAAAGTTAAACAGAACATTTCAGAGCAATACACAAGTTTAACATTAAGGAGTGCAATATTCTCACAGAAGTATTTGTGGCGTGAGATTTGCACAGACATGGCCAGTATCGCACGTCATCTATAGATTCAAATTCTTGTTTAATGTTGGCCTGTGCAGGATATTCCATTCCCTTTCCAGCTCCCCCCCCCTCCCCTGCTGTACGTTACCCAGCAAACGCAGGCAGCGCGCTGCACTGAACGGCTTTAGCTCCGGCTAAAATCAGCCCGTTCAAACCAGCGTTCATTCCAAACCGTATCAATTCCAAAGGAAATAAACCAGAATTTATGTTAAGAAGAAACTGCTGGCGGAAAGGAAAAATAAGGTGACAGTTTGGAGAGCCTCCTAAGCCGCCTTGCAGCACCTTCACCTGCGCTTAGCTGGTTCTTCCCCGGCGGGAGCCGTCGGACAGCGCACGCAGGCACCGGCACCTTCTTTCCGCCCCCGACACCTCTCGGCACGCCCGCCAGCGCTGCACAGGCAGGTCTGAGTCCCTTACCCACGGCAGGGCAGCCGGACAAGCACATCCCCGGCCCCAGCCCCCCCTCAGCAGCGGGATGCTCCGGCAGGACCCAGAGCCCGCATCCCCCCGCCGCC